ATTGAGTTGGCTATGGAGGTCCTTGAAAGATACCTAAAAAGAATGTGTTCTCACGGATAACGATGATTGGTGGGTTTGTAGTACATGATACATGAGAAAAATATTTTATTGTGTGGAGAGGATGTGTCACACCCCCACCCCAGATCACATAGGGTGAGCAGCGGACCAGCCACCAAGGCTTTAACCAATCATCCATGTGCATAATTAATGCAAAATACAGCGGAAGACAAATAATAAAGTGATCCTTTTTCCCGACCTAATGAATACCAGAGAAATAAACTAATATCACTGACATTATTACTAAACTTATGTAAAACAATAATTAATCCATAAGGTTCACCACTCTAAGCAAAAATAACAATGTTCTCAAAATAATCGAATACTTGTCTCAAAACTATAAAAAAAAAATATTTATTCCTGAAGACCTACAATAAAATAAATCTTCGATTCTTCTAATCCTTTGTCTATCTGAGGACTTACTCCGCCTCCTGATCCTCACCTGAAAAATGTTAAATATTTTGGTGAGCACAAAGGCCCATGAGTAGCAACCACCTCTAATGAGGTTTGAAAATAAATCTCACATTTCATAAATACAGAAATAAACTTTGTTACATATATAAATACAATAAATTGTACCCCAATCCCTTTAACATAACCCTGTAAACAAAATGATCTCATGATCATAATAACTTTATAAAAGAAAAGATATTTATAGCTCAAAACACTCACACACACATTCAGTCTCAAATACACTTGTCAAATCATGCTTGTTACCACTAGCCTGGTAACTGGTCCCATCTTTTGTCATCACTAGCCTGATGACTGGTCTCGTCTTTTGTTATCACTAGCCTGATAGCTGGCCCCTATGTGCACATCCCTATACCGACCACACCGGTATACAATCTCATTACCATTTAGATCTGGTAACTAACTCCCCCTCATAAAACATGATTTCAACACACACACTAAAATTGTTGTTTTAGTCCCATCACACACAAAATATATCTTTCATCACCAAAACCATTTAAAAAATAATATAAAATCATCTCATAAGTTTTGTAAATTCACATGTGTAACAATTCACAATTGCAAAAATATTTAATTGCAACCCTAAACATCAACATATATCATATATATGAAAAATTCATACACACGCACCCACAAGTTTAATATAGAAAATCCTCCCAAAAGAAGTAATAAACTACTCACCTTGATTTCTAAAATCCAATTCAAAGCACTTTTTACAAACCTCTGTGCAGTCATCACCTAATCCAAAATAACATATAACAGTCAATTAATTTTTCTAACCTCGTCGTTTCGCGATTCTATATTTAAATTTTATACTTCCTATCCATTGATATATACTTAATATATCTTTTACATATAAATATCTTTTCTAATATGAGGTAATAGGGTATGGAAGTATTCTGAGCTGTTTGAAAAAAGTTTCTAAAGTTCTAGGGTCAAATTATAATTTTTGAAACTTTTGAGGTTAAAGTATAATTTCTTTAAAAATGAATTTTCTGTTTTCGGGCCTGCCATAAATTTTCCAAAATAATATTTAAGATTCTAAAGACCCATTTTTCAATAATACCACCTCAATTTGATTTATTAGAGTAACTATTGATATTTAAACACTTAATCGAAACTTTTTGGGGTCGTTTCAAAATTTCAGAAATTTTTCAATACTCGAGGGCTGTTTTGACATAACCATATTTGTTTCAAACATATTGGGTCAGTTCTATAAATTACAAAGTTCTATGGTAGTCAAAAATTGAGTTTATAAAATATAGGGATCAAAATAAAGCTACTTAAAACTGAGGGGAGAGTTTTCATAATTTTCAAAACTTTATCTTCTTCAACCTTGATTCAGCTGTTTGTAACCTTCTGGTTCTTCCATCTTTGTTTTCTTTTTGCTTTGTTAGACTTTAAATCAATTCCTTAAAGGCTCAAAAACCATAAATCTATACTATGTAAAATCAATTCTTTAAAGACATTAAATCAATTCTTTATAACTTCCAATAAAACCCAATTATATATACCTCACTATCCTTCACCATGAACACACACACATATACACACACACACACAGATATATATATATATATATGTGTGTATAACAATATTCCTTTTTATTATTTATAATAACCTTAATACTATGTAATTGAATAACTTCCAAACTTACCAATAAATTCATACCTTTAATAGATCCAAATCCCTTCTTCTTCTTTTTCTTTCTTTCCTCCTTCATATTCTCTCTCTCTCTCTCTCTCTCTCTCTCTCTCTTGCGCGGCTGAGTCCTCTTTTTCTTTTTGTTTTGCCCTATTTTGACTGCATACATATATGTATATACAAAATAAAAGAAACCCTAGAATAAACCTACAATTCCTAGTTCATTAATTACACTAACATTCCTTTTCAAAAATAATATCATAAATTGACCTAAACTAAGTTATATATATATTTCAAAAATCTGGGGTATTACAGGATGCAAGTGGAAGATGGACCTTTGCCTGATGAGGTGACCTCCTTGGGGTTCGGACAACTTGTACCCATGCAGGCCTTCAAAAGAAAGGGCAGTTTTTGTTGGAGAACATGGAAGCTTGATACTGCGCTTTACCAGTTGTGTGGTGGACTTGCTCTGTAAGGCAGGAATATTACACCAACTACTTCAGCTTATGAGAAGGCTGCCCATGAAGCCACTTGATTCTGTCTGGGACGCCTTACTGAGTGGTTGTTGAACCCATAATACAGTTCAGCTTGTAGAAACTGGTTGTCAACAGCTTTTATTGTTAGAAGACGACGATATAGCTGAAGAAGATGGAGCCTATGTTCAATAATGGTTTATCAGACATTTATCTGACGGCACGAAAATGTGAAGATGCACTTAGGATACGGAGGATGATTGGTAATAAAGGGCTGAAGAAAACGCCAGGATGCAGCATGAAATTGGTGGATGGGGAAGTATATGAAATTTTCGGACAGTGTCACCCAAAATCAGTTTTGATCGACGTCATTTACTATGTAGTCTTCTTCTATACATGTTACATCAACTGATCAACCTACTTCAGAAACAAGGTGCGACTTTTAATTTGTCTCATAACTGCATTTTTGTTAAGTCGCATAATCTGTCTGCTGGAATATAGGGCTTCTACTTGGCTGGATAGGACATGAGTCGAATCACTGATGCTCTTAGGGAGCAGGTTTTACCTTATCCCATGGAGCTGCACTTTGTCATAAACTTCGACCAGCTTGCAATAGGCATGAATTTATGATGATTTCATGAACCTGAATCTTCAGTCTCCAGACGAAATCCTTATGTTGGAGTAAGTAGTAGTACGGAAACTCTTCCTCACTACTGTTTTAGAAGTCATTTTGTTGAACCATTTTAGATAATTATACTGATAATTCACCAACATTGAACATTTGAAAATTGAATTAGTAATACCATATGAATACTCAGTCGCATTTTCCAATATAGAAACAAAGTTTGGCCGGGGAGGTAACAATCCGAGTTACTCGCGCAAAACTTGAATTCGTCTCGTTTTGAGTTTAACTTAAAAATTCGTTTATTTGAAAAATGATTCAAGTTCAAACAATTTTCCTGAATTCGTTTAGAAAATGAATCCTATAAATTTGGCTCGTTTTGGGTTTGAGCTCGCAAAGTTCGTCTCATTTATACGAAAACTAACCGAATTATCTGGGATTTTTTTTTTTTTAAATAATCAAATTTGAACATTTAAAAAAAAAAATCAAATTCGGGTTGAACTCATTTGTTCGGCTCGGATACCACAGTGCTAGTTATATTTTAGGATTAATTGCAAGTTACGCTCCGAAAGATAGTTCGAATTTTAATTTAGACCCTCAAAGATAAAAAATTTCAATTTACACCCTCAAAGATAGAAATTTGTATCAATGTGCACCCCAAAAATAAAATATCTCAATTTGTACCCTCAAAGATAAAATTTGTATTAATGTGCACCTTCAAATAAAAAATTTCAATTTGTACCCTCAAAGATAAAAATTTGTATCAAGGTGCACCTAAAACTAAATTTGATAAATTATACCTAGATCTTCTCATGCTTGTCACTTAATCATTTGAACCCCTTCACATTTAGAATATTACTCATACATTTCATAACTTTTATGCACATGTAACACGTAACCCCTTTTTGTTCGGTTAATATAACCGTTTATCTTAATAAAAAATTATAATTTCATATTACCGTTTATTTTGTGGGTCTGATATAATCTAAAGTTTAAAATCAAGCTTATCATTTGAATGTCCAATAGAATGTAGATATTTATATAATATTTTTTATATCCAATGCAATATATCACTTAATGTGCAAATATTTTTTAGCGGTTATATTAACAGATATCAACGAAAATGGGTTACGTGTTACACGTGAACGAAAGTCATGAGATGTAAGAGTAATATTCTATATGTGAAGAGGTCCAAATAATTAAGTGACAAATATAAGAGGATCTAGATATAATTTATCAATTTAGTTTTAGGTCCACATTGATACAAATTTCTATTTTTGAGGGTGCAAATTGAGATTTTTTATCTTTAAGAGTGCACATTAATACAAATTTCTATCTTTGAGGGTGCAAATTGATATTTTTGATCTTTCGGATTGCACATTGATACAAATTTTTATTTTTAAAAGTACAAATTGAGATTCGAACGATCTTTCAGGTGCAATATGCCCTATATTTTAATTCCTTTAAATTACACCCTTAATTTTTAAAAAATCTCAGTGTCATTGATTATATAGCTCTTCGTATCTCTGTCTGCAATAACCTTTAACAATCTCAACTCACTTTCCACTGATTATTCTGTTATTGACAGTTGGACTTCATCGTTCACTCTGACACCAAGAAATCAAGAATTACCATCGACTCCGATCACCTCTCTCTCTGTCTCTCTCCGATCACTTTTTTCGTTTTCATGTTCGCGTAAATTGCAAATCAGTTCTTTTGAAAGTCAACATCCAATGGAACCTAAGAAGAAGCGGAACACTCCTTCACACTCCAAATCATCATCGACGGCCAAGAACACAATCGCAAGTGGCGGAGCACCACCGTATACCAGTTCTAACGACAATCTTCCTGAAGAGCAGATTAATGCAGAACAGCTCGATAATGATGCGATCAAGGCTGAATGTGAACTGGCGATCGCTGCTCTTGGCCAAAGAAACCTAACCGAAGCCCTGAAACTCATCAACGACGCATGCCTTCACTACGAAAATTCCGCTCTCGTACACCACACTCGAGCCTCTATATACACCAGAATCGCTGCTCAAATCGAAGATTATGACGCTTATCAAGAACACTTGAAGAATGCTCTCGAGTCTGCGAAGAAAGCCATCTCGATCTCACCCCACTCAATAAAGTTCTCGCATACGCACGCGAGTTTGCTCTTTCGATTGTCAAGCAACGTTGAAGATTACGAAGAAGTTGTGAAAGAATGTGAGCGAGCCTTATCGTTGTTTAATTTACCGCGTGTTGAAAAAAGCTCACAAGAGCAGCTTGAATTTATAAAAGAAGAATTGAAGTCGATTCTTGATAAAGCAAAGATTGGATTGATGGTGGTCACTGGGACGAAGAATGTCGGAACTGCTGATGGCGGGGAGGAGGGGTCTGTGTTTAAAGAGGATCCAATGTTAACAAACATTAAGAAGGCGAACAAGACTATTGAAGAGAAGAGGAAGGAAATCATGGCACTTTTGCAGGAAAGGCCTAAGACGGTTCCATCCCAAAATATTGATGATGATGCTTTTGGGTTAACTGGACCAAAGCTGATTGGCAAACTCCAAGTCAGAAAAAGAAATTCTACTTTGAAGAAGATCATGTTGAACGCTGGCAAGATTGGTAAGGTTCTGGAGTTTTGGACCTCTATGAGTGTGGAGGAAAAGACAGGGTTGCTCAGACCAAGAATTAATGATTGTAAGATGTATTGTGCTAGACTCAAAGGTGTTTTGGCAGCAGAGGATTTGCTGGGCGGTATTTGTTATGCTGAGGTGGCTCAAACTTGGAAGTACTGGGACTGTTGCGTGTGTGGACAGGTATTTATGCATATGGACTCGTTTATTGGTCATCTAAAGCAGAGGCATTTGGGGCCCCTATTAGCAAAGTTGCAAGAATTCCTGCCTCAACAGATTGATACTCGTATGGTGGAGATGCTAGAGGATGGTCCGTGGAAGCCCGTGGATACTGCTGAGGCAGTGAGAATCATTAAAAATCAGTCAAAAGACCCGGATGATAAGAATTGGCCATTTTCTGATGATTCTGAGCGTGCAGATATCCTTCAAAAAATCCATAGCAGGCTCCAGGTGCATCTGCGACATAAATGGGTTGCTCTGAGCCATCTTATGGTAGTGAAGCACTACGCTATGAACATGCTGCTCAGCAATAATATACTTTCTGCTACACAAATATGGATCCATGGCCTGCACCGATCACATGTCTGCATGTGCTTTTTGGAGGCTTCTGAGCTGAATAACATTCTTGATGTATTGCAGGCGTTGGATTCTCAGATGGGTTCCATAGCTGATGAATGGGGTCTCAATCAGGAATGTGAAGCCAGAGAAAGGATTGTGTTTTGTGGTGAAACATTGTGTCTCATCTTTGATGAGAGTTTACTGCATGGCGAGATTACACCCTCCACATGTCCTAAAGCTGTTGCCGATGATCCATCTGCAACAACGTTTGTTGTTAGTGATGATGAACTTGGTGATGCTTTTATACGTTGGTTATTTGCTGGTTTTACAATTGAAGAAAAACTAGCCTCATGGAGACGCCTAAAAGATGTTAAGGCTCGCCGAGGGATGAAAATTTGTCTTATCCTCAAGAAGATGTTTTCTGAGATAGAAAACTCGTGTTTGAGAATACAAGAGCATTTTATCCATGAAAAAGCATTGGAGGATGTTCACAGTATTTGTGCTGAAGAACTTAAGAAAAGGGAGCAAGGAGCCAGTTACATACCTCAAACTTTTGAGTCCCTATTGAAAAAGCGGCAAGAAGAACTTCTTGAGAGGGACGATGATAACAGTAGAGCTGAACCGTATTGTGAAGGAAAAATTTTGGAAGATGAAGTACCTCAAGCTATGAATGTAAACAAGGTTGAATTTGAAAAACTGATGGTTTCTACTTGTCATTTTTGTGAGTTTGAATGTATGGAAACTGATGAATGCATAATGCAGGATGACGTGCATCAAGGAGACAATCGGATAAGAAATGTAATTGAAAAACAATTGCGGCAGAGTGCCACAGAGGTGGGTGTGTTGCTACTAAGCACCCAGAATGTTCTTGGATAATATTGTCATCACGGAATCTTCTAGTTAGTATGACATCATTCAGTAGTATATTGATGCTTTGCAATCATCCCTTACAAAGTGAATCTTCCCCATATAATTTGTAGAATTCCACATTATTTTGTCAAGGTTAAGCGTGTCAACGGAGTTTTTTAATCTTTCTTCTTTTTCCCTTTTGAAGAAAAAAGAAATTGTTTTCAAGAAATTTTCCAGCATTCTGATCATATTCTGTCCTGCAGAATTTCAAAATGAATATAAATCTCCTGTGGAGTTTTGCTAGGATGCACCATCTGTATTTCCAACTTGCACAAGTATCGGTTCATGACTACCAGCTAATTGTAGTGCCCCTTCTGAAGTCATTCATGCGGGTTTGTAGTCTATATGTTGCATTATTTTCTGTAACCTTTACAGCATCTTAAAAATTAAAAAAAAAAAAACTCTCTCACCCATGAGCTCTCTTTTCCAGTCACAATTGGAGGATTTGGTTCAAAAATATGCAACAGCGAAGACAAATGCTGCAAGAGAAGCATTGTTAGCAGAGCTTGAATCTGTTGGCAGCAAGAATCTTACCAAGGGATGCAATCAGGCGAAACATAGGGATAAGAAAAAGAAAAGAAATTACAGAAAAGCTAAGGATCCCAAGGTCTTAATATTGTCACGTCTGGTGTGATTTATCTATTTACTATTTGACATAGGTAAATGTTGGTTGTTGTTTGTGGGAGGTAGTTTGATGCTTTCGTAGCATTGCAGGTTTCTGGTGGCCAAAGGAAAGACATGCTAAAAGGAATGGGTACAGAACAAGCGTAGGCCTCCTTTTCCATCTCATTAGCATTACTTCACTGAAAACTATTGTGCCCTTTTTTCCTATATAGTCATAGGTATATTTGGGGATAAATGTAGTTTTGACTTCTGTGTTTCTCCAGTCACTTTCCTGATGGTGATTACCCAGATTCTCAGATGCATGTTTCTGAAAGTGCCAATGAAATGATAGAGCAGGAAGAGGAACATAGGTTTAAACTCCAACTTGAAGCAGAGGAAAGAATGCTCGAAGAAAATTTGGAGCGTCAGAGAAAAATTGAGAATGAGGCTAAACAGAAGCAGCTTTCTGGGCAAAACAAATCAACCAATGCAACAGCACCAGACGTGACAGAGACATTGGTGATTGCACCTGGAATGCCAAACGATTTTCCTGGTGTTCCTATGAATAAGTTTGAGGTAACTAAGATGTCCTCCCTGGTTTCTAGGGAAAGGACTGAAGGGAGAAGTTGCTATGATGGCGAAGTTAAGCCCGGTAAGCAATCTTTGAGTAAAATAATCTTGGCATAGGATGTGTCTCCTTGTGTATAATTTGCTTTCAGGCATTCAGACACAACGCCTTTTTTGCACAAATTGTTGTCAACTGACTCATCTTTGTATTGTTATCTTTTTTATTGGTACACTCTTTGTGTTTCTTTTGCACATAACTTTACCGTAATTATTTGACACATAAGCAGATATAGCACCATTTCTGTTCTTTTGGGCCAGTTGCTTTGCTTTGCTTTGTCTAACACTCTTTGTTCATATCAAAATAGGACATTGGTGACCGTGTCCACTATAGAATGTAAATCTTCAGATCCGACATAATATTTGAGTAGAAATTAAGGGCTTCTTTAATATGCGTTTTCAAAAAATAGTATCCAAAAATAATTTTTGAAAAGAGTTTTAAGAAAATAATTTTGATATTTTTTGAGATAAAAAACTTGTTTGGCTAGATGATTTCAAAAATAATTTTACAATACAGAAAATAGTAAAACCTGTTTGGACAACCTAAATATATATTTGAACAGTAAATCAAACATCAATAAAAAAATATAAAAAAATTATTTTTATATTAACAATTTCATAATATATATATACACTTATATATATATATATATATATATATATATATATATATATATATATATATATATATAAGCCAATATCTGAACATCCAAAATTGTTCTCTTTATTTCCAAAATTTTCAAAGAAAACTTTAAAAACAAGCTATACTTGTTTTTTGTTTTTTTGACTCAAATATTATTTTTTTCCCAAAATTTAAAGAACAAAAATACTAAACAAACATGTTTTGGGTGTTTTTAAAATTTTGAGAACAAAAAACTGTTTTGCAGAAATTAACCAAATACGCCATAAATTTTGTTTTGTCACATCATACGTTTTTTTTATGGGAAACGTGATATAAGTTATGTCTTTTGTTGTGCAGCTTTTGCATACTCAGAAACTCTTGACGGTGTTTTATGGTCTTCCTATCGACAGACTTGATGGTGTTTTGTGATAATCACATTATATAAAACCACCACAAAATCACATTATATAAAAAGGCTAGAAGGAAATCCACCTCATGGTGTTTGTTAGGACTAAGTTAAACATGAAGATTCTGCTGTGCGTATTTTCACATCACAGTTCCCTCTCTTTTCTTCCTAGAACTTGCCTCATACTACTTCTGCAACTCTCCATCTTGGAGACATATACCACATGATCCGGTGTTCTGCATCACATTTCCTCCTGAATGACTCACGTAGTATGTGATAAATACAGGTCAGGAGAATGCTTCTTGAGAGGAGAATACAGACAACATCTTGCCCAAAGCTAATTCCCTTACCATTCCTCAGATTGTTTGAGAGAATCCTCCCCGGGTTCTCAATATGGTCTACCATAGGCTGACTCCCAGATAAGCTTACTTCTGCTGGGATCGATTTTCAATGCTTGAAGTTGAGACTGCCTTAAAATGGAGTGAGAAACATATGAGATTGCTAATTCACTCATCCCCAACCACATAGTCATCTTGCCTTCCACAGCACTTCCCACCATCCTATTGAAGGCCATTATTACCGTGATAAAGAACAACAAAACAAAGGGTCACTTTCTCCGTCCTTCGAAAACGATTTCAAGGAGTCTATGTGAGCACTATGAATTTTTGAAAGAGGCATTTAGGTTGTTATTCTTAAAACGTTCATATTCCTGAGTTATTCTTCACATATTCGTCAATTATACTCATTCATTATACTGATACTTATAATTTGATAAAAATAAATAAATATAATTTTAATTTAAGAACATGAATAGATTTTAGTTGTATTGATAGTAATAGTGTAAGAAAAATTGATTTAGAGGAACATTTGGTTTGAGCGCTTTTCATGTAGCGGTGGAATGCCTCCGACATGAGGGATTAGCCACCTGGATTAGTTCCATAATGGTTGAGATTAAATTTTGCTATTTAGTTCCTAGTGGGCTCTAACTTTTCCCCACTCCAATTCATTTTTATTAAAGTCATTTGAATATTTTTATTGAGGAGTGCTATAGGGGTTCAATTGGATTACGCGAACTAAATTCTTAATCTCGTTCAAACTCTGCAGTCTCTTGAATATTTTTTCTTATCAAATATTAGATTTTTATTATTTTAAATTGTTTAATTACAAATACATTGATCTCATCAAATTAAATCATTTCATGCCGATTATTTTTATAAAATTATTTTAAAAATTATTTTTTCTTAACAAATTATTTTCATGAGTGAGGATAATAATCACGGTAAAAATAAAAAAGATAATAAAATAACATGTAGACAGGTAGATTATACATATTTTAGTAACTAACCTTCTTTTTTTGAAAATTTATTATTAAATGTTAACACTAGGACGTGGTGTCGCCGCCCAATATTTTCTCTTAAAACATTGCAGAATTGTGACCAGAGACTAGAGAGGTTAAAACTACGGCCACCGTTACTAAGATTTTAAATACAAGGGCTTGGGGGCTTGCAGCACAGAGCCCATTTTGCTCTGTTTGCCCAACACCGACCTTGTGAGAGAGAGAGAGAGAGAGAGTGCCTATATATCTTTGTTTCTCGTCCGCCACGAGCTTTTAACAATCTCACTCACTTTCCACACGTTAGTCTGTTATGACAGTTGGACCTCAACGTTACTCTGACACCAAGAAATCAAGAAACACCACCGACTCCGATCAACCCTACGCCTCTCTCCGATCACCTCACTCTCTATCTTCCCCGTTTCATTTACGTTTTCGGTTACATTACAAACCAATTCTTTGTCTAGTAAACATCTAATGGGACGTAAGAAGAAGTGGAACCCTCCTTCACAATCCAAACCACCATCGACGGCCAACAACGCAACCACCAGTGATAGAGCACCACCGAATACCAATACTTCAGACAATCTTCGTGATGAACAGAGTAATGCAGAACAGCTCGACAAGGATGCGATCAATTCTGAATGTGAGCGGGCGCTCGCTGCTCTTGGCCAAAGAAACCAAAACGAAGCCCTGAAACTCATCAAAGAAGCATGCGTTCGCTACGAGAACTCCGCTCTTGTACACCACACTCAAGCCTCTATACACACCAGAATCGCTACTCAAATCGAAGACTATGACGCTTATCAAGATTCCTTGAAGAATGCTCTCGTTTCTGAGGAGAAAGCCATCTCACTGTCGCCCAACTCGATAAAGTTCGCACATACTCGCGCGAGTTTGCTCTTTCGATTATCGAGCAACTTTAAAGATTACGAAGAAGTTGTGAAAGAATGTGAGCGAGCCCTATCGTTGTTTACTTTACCGCCAGTTGAAAGAATTTCACAAGAAGAGCTTGAATTTGTAAAAGAAGAACTGAAGTCGACTTTGGATAAAGCCAAGATTGGGCTGATCACGACTGGGATGAAGAATGTCGGAACTGGTGATGTTGGAGAGGAGACGTCTGGGTTTATAGAGGATCTGTTAACAAAGCTTAAGAACGCGTACAAGACTGTTGAAGAGAAGACGAAGGAAATGGAGGTCCTTGTAGGAGCTGCGAAACTTTTGCAGCAAAGGCCTGACGATGACGCTTTTAGGTTGACTGGACCGAAGCCGCTTGGCAAACTCCAAAACAGAAAAGCAAATGCTGCTATGAAGATGATCAGGTCAAACACGGGCAAGATTGGAAAGGTTCTGGAGTTTTGGAACTCTATGAATGTGGAGGAAAAGAGATGGTTGCTCAGACCAAGAATTAACGATGTTAGGGTGCATTGCGCTGAAGTCAAGTGTATTTTGGCAGCAGAGGATTTCCTGGACGCTATTTGTTATGCTGAGGCGGCTCATACTTGGAAGTACTGGGAATGTTGCGTTTGTGGACACGCATCTGGGGATATGGAGTCGCTTATTGATCATCTAATGCAGAGGCATGTGGGGGACTTGTCAGGAAAGTCGCAAGCATTCCTGCCTAAAGAAATTGATGCTCATTCTCTGGAGATGCTACAAAATGGTCCGTGGAAGCCTGTGGATACTTCCGAGGCATTCAGAATCATTGAAAATCGATCAAAAGACCCGGATGATGAGACTTGGCCATTGTCTGATGATTCTGAGCGTGCAGATATCCTTGAAAGAATCCGTAACAAGTTCCTGTTGCATCTGCCACATAAATGGGTTGTTCTGAGCTATCTTATGGCAGTGAAGCACTATTCATTGAACTTGCTGCTGCAGCAGGTTTCTGCTACGCAACTTCGGATCCATGGCCTGTATGAATCACACATCTGCATCTGCTTTTTGGGCGTTTCTGGGCTGAATATCATTCTTGATACCTTGCAGAAGTTGGATTCTCAGGTAGCTGATGAGTCGATTGTCAATCAAGAACGGGAAGTCACAGCAAGAATTGTGTTACATGGTGAAACATTGTGCTTCCTTTTGGATGATAGTTTACTGCATGCGGATCTTACATTGTACACATATCCTAAAGCTGCCGTGGATGATGCATCTGCGACAATGTTTGCTGTTAGTGATGATGAAGTTGATGCTCTGGCACATGGTGATGGTTTTATATATTGGTTGTTTGCTGCGGGTTTTTCAATCAAAGATGACCTAGCATCATGGAAACGCAATAAAGATGGTAGGACTCGCCAAGGGATGGAGATTTATCTCATCCTTAAGAAGAAATTTTCTGAGATAGAAAACATGTGTTTGAGACGAAATGAGCATTTGATCCACTGCAACGCATTACAGGCTATTGAAAGAATCTGTACTGAAGAACTTAATAAAAGGGAGCAAGGACCAAGTTATATACCTCAAACTTTTGAGTCCCTCTTCAATAAGAGACAAGATGAACTTGTTGACAGGGATGACGATAACAGTAGAGCTGAGCTTTATGCTGTGGGGAAATTTTTTGAAGATGAAGTACCTCAAGCTATGAACGTAAATGAGGTTGGATCTGAAAAACAGATGGTTCCTATTTCTACCTTTTGTGATTTTGAATGTATTGAAAATGATGAATGAATAATGCAGGATGATGCGCATCAAGAAGAAAATCGCATAAGAACTGTAATTGAAATGCAGTTGAAGCAGAGTTCACAAAAGGTGGGTGTGTTGCCTCTAGGCAACCAGAATGTCATCGACTATATTATCATTATCAAGTTTTCTAGTTAATAAGACATCATTCAATTGCATATAAGTGCTTTGCAATTCTCCACGAAGTGAATCTTCCTCGTATAATTTATAGAATTCCACATTATTTTGTCAAAAATAAGAGTATTGAGGGAGTTCCCCCCCCTTTCTTCTGCCTTTTCCCTTATGAAGGAAAAAACGTTTTCAGGAAATGTTCCGGGGTTCTCACTAATATCTGTCCTGCAGAATTTCGAAATTGATATAGATATCCTGTGGAATTTTACCAAGATCCAACATCTATATTTCCAACTTGCACAAGCATCAGTTCATGACTACCGTTTAATTGTTGCACCCCTTCTGCTGTCATTCATGCGGGTATGTATTCTATGTGTTGCATTATTTCCTATAACCTTTACATCATTTATAGACCATAGGTTTAAAATTCTCACGTGAGCTCTTTTCCAGGCACAAGTGGAGGATCTGGTTCATAAACATGCAGTGGGGAAGACAGATGCTGCACAGGAAGCATTGTTAGCGGAGATTGAATCTGATGCCAGCAAGAATCCTACCAAGGGATGCAATCAGGTGAAACGGATGGAGGGAAAGTTGAAGGACAAGAAAAAGAAAAAATACTACAGAAAGGCTAAGGATTCCAAGGTCTTAATGTTTCCAAGTCTGGTTTTTTGATATGTTTCCAAGTCTGGTTTTTTGATATGTTTTCTGTTTCACAGTGGTAGATGTTTTTCGTTGTTTGTATGAGTTATTAGAATGTTTTCATAGCATTGCAGGCTGCTAGTGGCAAGCCAAAACACATGCTACAAGAGACAGATACAGCACAAGCGTGAGCCTTTTTTTCCTATCACCAGCTGAATTACACTGAAAACTATTTAATAAACGATCATGCCCTTCTCTCCAATATAATCCTGGGTTTAATTGTAATCCTATTAATGTAGTTTTAGCTTTTGTGTTTCTCCAGTCACATTCCTCATGGCGATTACCCAGATTCTCAGATAAGTGCTTCTGTAAGTGCTGATGAAATTATAGACCAGGAAGTTGAACGTAGGTATAAACTCCAACTTGAAGCTGAGGAAAGAATGCTTGAAGAGAATTTGGAGCGTCAAAGACAAATTGAGAATGAGGCTAAACAGAAGCAGCTTGCTCAGCAAAACAAAACAACCGATGCAATAGCACCAGAGGTGGCGGAGACATTGAAGATTGAACCTCAAATGCCAAAAGATTTTGCTGGTGTTCCTATGAACGAGTTGGAGGGAACTAAGGTCTCCTCCCAGGTTTCTGGTGGAAGGACTGAAGGGACAAGTTGCGCTCAAGGCGATTACCCAGATTCTCAGATAGGTGCTTCTGTAAGTTCTGATGAAATTATAGACCAGGAATTCGAACATAGGTATAAACCCCAACTTGAAGATGAGGAAAGAATACTTGAAGAGAATTTGGAGCGTCAAAGAGAAATTGAGAATGAGGCTAAACAGAAGCAGCTTACTGGTAAGCAATCTTTCAGTTTTCTCCTTTAAAATTATTGCACGGAGCTTTGCCTTATTGGTTAGTTTTTTTTTTTTTTTTTCAGAGACATTAGAAGAAGAGAAAACAGACATTGGGGTCTTGTCTACTGATGTCACTACCAAAAATATGGATGAATTGGATACATACTTTGGGACAGGGATGAGAAATGATCCTGGTGAAAACAACTGCTTTTTAAATGCAACCATACAGGTTGGAATTTAATAGAGATTACTTATATATGTTTCTGTGATCTAAGAATAAGTGCTGACCTTTTCCGTTTCCTTTTAGTCCTGAACTTTTAGTCTCTGTGAAATCTGCAGTCTCTCTGGCATTNTGGTTCCTATTTCTACCTTTTGTGATTTTGAATGTATTGAAAATGATGAATGAATAATGCAGGATGATGCGCATCAAGAAGAAAATCGCATAAGAACTGTAATTGAAATGCAGTTGAAGCAGAGTTCACAAAAGGTGGGTGTGTTGCCTCTAGGCAACCAGAATGTCATCGACTATATTATCATTATCAAGTTTTCTAGTTAATAAGACATCATTCAATTGCATATAAGTGCTTTGCAATTCTCCACGAAGTGAATCTTCCTCGTATAATTTATAGAATTCCACATTATTTTGTCAAAAATAAGAGTATTGAGGGAGTTCCCCCCCCTTTCTTCTGCCTTTTCCCTTATGAAGGAAAAAACGTTTTCAGGAAATGTTCCGGGGTTCTCACTAATATCTGTCCTGCAGAATTTCGAAATTGATATAGATATCCTGTGGAATTTTACCAAGATCCAACATCTATATTTCCAACTTGCACAAGCATCAGTTCATGACTACCGTTTAATTGTTGCACCCCTTCTGCTGTCATTCATGCGGGTATGTATTCTATGTGTTGCATTATTTCCTATAACCTTTACATCATTTATAGACCATAGGTTTAAAATTCTCACGTGAGCTCTTTTCCAGGCACAAGTGGAGGATCTGGTTCATAAACATGCAGTGGGGAAGACAGATGCTGCACAGGAAGCATTGTTAGCGGAGATTGAATCTGATGCCAGCAAGAATCCTACCAAGGGATGCAATCAGGTGAAACGGATGGAGGGAAAGTTGAAGGACAAGAAAAAGAAAAAATACTACAGAAAGGCTAAGGATTCCAAGGTCTTAATGTTTCCAAGTCTGGTTTTTTGATATGTTTCCAAGTCTGGTTTTTTGATATGTTTTCTGTTTCACAGTGGTAGATGTTTTTCGTTGTTTGTATGAGTTATTAGAATGTTTTCATAGCATTGCAGGCTGCTAGTGGCAAGCCAAAACACATGCTACAAGAGACAGATACAGCACAAGCGTGAGCCTTTTTTTCCTATCACCAGCTGAATTACACTGAAAACTATTTAATAAACGATCATGCCCTTCTCTCCAATATAATCCTGGGTTTAATTGTAATCCTATTAATGTAGTTTTAGCTTTTGTGTTTCTCCAGTCACATTCCTCATGGCGATTACCCAGATTCTCAGATAAGTGCTTCTGTAAGTGCTGATGAAATTATAGACCAGGAAGTTGAACGTAGGTATAAACTCCAACTTGAAGCTGAGGAAAGAATGCTTGAAGAGAATTTGGAGCGTCAAAGACAAATTGAGAATGAGGCTAAACAGAAGCAGCTTGCTCAGCAAAACAAAACAACCGATGCAATAGCACCAGAGGTGGCGGAGACATTGAAGATTGAACCTCAAATGCCAAAAGATTTTGCTGGTGTTCCTATGAACGAGTTGGAGGGAACTAAGGTCTCCTCCCAGGTTTCTGGTGGAAGGACTGAAGGGACAAGTTGCGCTCAAGGCGATTACCCAGATTCTCAGATAGGTGCTTCTGTAAGTTCTGATGAAATTATAGACCAGGAATTCGAACATAGGTATAAACCCCAACTTGAAGATGAGGAAAGAATACTTGAAGAGAATTTGGAGCGTCAAAGAGAAATTGAGAATGAGGCTAAACAGAAGCAGCTTACTGGTAAGCAATCTTTCAGTTTTCTCCTTTAAAATTATTGCACGGAGCTTTGCCTTATTGGTTAGTTTTTTTTTTTTTTTTTCAGAGACATTAGAAGAAGAGAAAACAGACATTGGGGTCTTGTCTACTGATGTCACTACCAAAAATATGGATGAATTGGATACATACTTTGGGACAGGGATGAGAAATGATCCTGGTGAAAACAACTGCTTTTTAAATGCAACCATACAGGTTGGAATTTAATAGAGATTACTTATATATGTTTCTGTGATCTAAGAATAAGTGCTGACCTTTTCCGTTTCCTTTTAGTCCTGAACTTTTAGTCTCTGTGAAATCTGCAGTCTCTCTGGCATTTGAGACATTTCCGAGATGAGTTTTTGTGTCTACCAGGACATGTGCATGTTGGAGATCCTTGTGTTTTCTGTGCTTTACATCAGATCTTTGAGGCCTTAAGCATGCCCCACACAGATAGACAAAGAGCTGTTGGCCCGACCTCTTTAAGAATCACTTTGAACATTTTGTACCCTGATGATATCTCCTTGCAGGAGGTTTGTTCACAGGAATTTCTTGGTCTTGTCATTCTCTCTTTCTCCATCTCTCTCGGAATATGAACTTACCAACTTGAACTTCTATACATTGTTTACAGGGACAAGCGGGTGATGCTTTGGTGGTGTTGGAAAAAATATGGAGTTGTCTTCATGAATCATTTACTTATAATCTTACTGTTTCTGATGCCAAATCGGAAGAGAGAAATTGCGAAGTGTTTGGTGGTGCAAGCAAGTGTATAGCACATACCATTTTCGGATTGGACATAGTAGAAAGATTTGACTGTCGTAAATGTGGTCTTCTGAATGGATTTAAGCACCAGCCTTGTTATGTTCTAAACATAAGGGCAAATGAACTCAGAAAGGCAAAGGTTTGTTACATGCGACTATTGCTTTGATAATATGTGACAGATTTCTTTACAGAAAGAGAAAGTTGCACAAGCAAAATTTCTGTGCTATGTTAGACATGCCTGTTAAAAGTTGATTCTTTTCTTCCCAACCAGATTATGTGTGTGGATAGCCGTTTTGATGAACTTTTAAAGGTGCTCGCCGTTGATGACGATACTCAATTCATTTGCAAGCCAGAGTTTCATGGATGTGGAACATTAAATCATATCAATCGTGTTCTTTCAACTCGTCCACATGTTTTCACTGTTGGTAAGTGCCAAGTTGTCGGGTATCTGTCATTCTTGCATTCATCAGTGCTTAGTTGTTTCTGGTCTGGGCATTGCAGTTATTGATTGGAAGACAGCCAGTGAGAGTGCTGATGATATGTTAGCAACACTGAAGGCTCTGAATACAGATATAGATATTGGCGTCTTGTATCAAGGTTTAGATCAGGGAGACAAACACAGCCTTGTTTCGATGGTAAGTTGGATCTGCTATATTTTTAGCATCTGGATATATTAGTAATCATTACAGGTGAAAGGTGATGAAAATTCTTATTGTTCAAATTACTTTGTAATACCATATGAAACAAGATGCCTGCATGGTGTGGAACTTTACTATATCACTTATTTACTTCTTTTTTTTGTTTTGGGGGGGGGGGGGGGGGGG